TATTTTGGCTGGCCTTTTCAGTAGCAAAAAGGTGATCAGAGGAGCCCAAATGCTTTGTCCACTTCCCACCACCAGTCCTGAGGCTGGCTGGGGATGGAGGGAAAGGATTAAGGCTCGGATCATTTCTTTGTGCGCTCCTAGGGGCTTGCTTCGCTTCCCGTTATTGTCCCGGATCTGGACCGCCTGCTCTGCCCAACAGGACCAGGGCCAGGCGAGAGCCAGCCTGGCATTTGGCTCGGAAAGAACCAGCCTCCTTCCTCCCCACTGCACAGAGGAATAATTCACCTGGAGACAATGCACTGGCAATGACTTTCCAGATCAATTTATAGCCTGACCTAAAGCTTTCTTCTTCCTGCCCAGGGTGAAAGGAGAAGGAAGAAGGGCTATTTTTTGTTCAGTATAGGTGTCTTCGGTGAGGTTGGTCTAACTCAGAGGGAATTTGGGGTGTTGACATTGAATCTGCTCAGTGCATGCTTTCTAACTCAAGTCACTGCTGCAAGTCAGTTATTAAGAAATCATGCTGCAGATAAGCCTGCAAGCGGGTTTAAAATTTCCTAAAAAGCTGATAAGATGGTAAAAAAAAATAAATCCCAGGGTATAGTCTGGCTCTTTCTTATATAGAGTGAATCTGTGAGTTCCCAGGGTCATAGAGAGAATTATTCTATCTGTGGCTTCCCGGAAAAGGAAATAATGCAGTAGGATTAGCTCCGGGAAAGTGGCAGCCTCCCCTTCCTCTCCAGATAAGCCAGGGGACTGCAGCCCATCCAGCAACCCAGAGGACATGGTCTGTCCCCTGGCCACGGGGGACCCAGCCGGTCATTGCCCCACGGCAGCTCCCCTCCATTCCCGTCTCTGCGCGCATCGCTCCCCTTTCCTCAAAACTGGAGCGGCGCCCTTTTTTCCAAGGGGTCACGCATGCGGGAAACGGGGGCAACTTTGGTCCTTTCTTTTCTAGGCAGTGTTAACCACTCGGCAGCCCAAAGAATTTGTCTTGCAATCCCCTCTGCGGCTCAGCTTTCAATTCTCTATTCAAGCAGCATGAATGAACCGAAGCCTTTATTTGCATTCTCTTCAAATTGCCCTCCACCGCTAGCATGAGACCTTTGGAAGTTTGTTGCAAGAGTAGCAGAGCCAAGATATTTTAGCCGGGCATGATGCCCCACCGCTACCGCAAAAATCACTTCAAAGCAACTGCTGAGTCAGAATAAAGGGGGCTGGATGCATTTGCTTCCCAAAGATCACAATGCAAAGCCCGGCAGGAGGAGGAGTGGTGAGGGAGGTCAATGGATCCAGCATTCCCTGTCCCTGAGTCACTTCTCCTGCAGGAATTCACAAGATCTGGCATCTCCCAAGCACATCGTAGAGCAAGGAATGGCCTGGGCAAGGGCACAGGGGTTTGAGGGGGGCTTTATAGAGAAATCCCATCCTGGACCACAATTAAGGACACCCTGGGCTGTTGCCCATCCTCAGGTTTGTGTGGGGCAGGGGGCTAAAGCTGCCCACCCTGCCGCAGCACAGGGTCAGCCAGCCGACAGCATCATGTTTGCAAGCTGAGGAGCTGTGTGCTCCAGTGTGGAAAGTGTGTAGGGTTGCCTTCAGGCTTCCTTCCCTGGAGTCCCAGAAAAAAGGCAAAAAAGTACCTTTGTTCTCCTTTGGCCTTCACCTTGCTGCAGCTTTTAAAAAGTTAAGAGCTGGCCCTTTATGTTATTTTCAGTTCTGGAAAGCAAAGTGTATTCATAAGGACTTTTTTTTTTTTTTTAAAAAAAAAATGTTTTCTACTGCTTTTAAATTGTTGCAGTATTTTCTTCTGCACCTTCCGGAGAGTGGTGTAGCTCACTGTATGCCGTACGCCTCCAGGGCTGCTCTTGCTTTGGGAAGCAAGGGAGCAATGGCAGCTGCATGTGCTCTGCAGAGAGCTCAGACTGCCTGGGTCCCCAGAGCAGACATGGGGCCATCCCTCCCTCCCCGGCCCTAGGTGCTCACCGCTCCTTCTTCTTCCTTTCTGCACCAAGGGACCTGCTGACTCCTTTTCCCAGGAGGCACAAAGGCAGGGCAATGGTGGGAAATGTCCATCACAGTCCCTTTCTGCTCCTCATCCTTCTCTCTTCTGCTCCAGTCCTGGTCTCATCTAACAACCAAACCTGCTGAGAAAATATTGGGCTGCATCTTGAGCTGGGTAGGAGAGGATGGCCATTTTAAGATTTCAAAACAATTCCCACTCTGCGTTTGCTGAAACCTCCTGGAATTTTTCATCAGAAGGAGATGAGTCCACCCCAGGGTAGCCCAGAGCCAGGCGGCTAGCATGTGGTCTTGGGCAATCTGGTGCAGAGGATGAAATCCCTGTTCTGATGCCTGCAGAGTGGGCACCTGAACCTCCTGCGTCCCTTCAACCCTTCAAATCCTGCCTTGCTAAAACCAGTCCGGTCCTGTGGGACATGCTGATTTTGATGAATCAACATTTTCCAGCAAAAAAACGTGGCATTTGCAATTTCCCAACCAGTCCTAACTGAGAGCATTCAGAAAAAGCAAACAAACAAACGAGCAAACCAGCTGTCTCACCCCCCAGGTCGGGAAGGCTTTTGAAGCTGAGCCGGCCGATCAGTTGGACTTGATGATCTTAAAGGTCTTTTCCAACCTAGGCGATCCTATGATTCACCCAAGCATTGCTGCCAGGGCAGGAGTGCCAGTAGATGAACAGTTCTGGGGTGGATGCAGGAACCACCATGCTCTGTTGCAGGAGCTTGACCCTGCTGCAAGTGATGGCCGGTCCCTTTGGCGCTGCATGCCTGTAGGGTCTCTCTGTAATGCAAGCTGCAGCTCTGATACTAGAGTGAGGGCTCTGGACGGTCTGTGCCTGTCCTTGGTGTGTCCCATGTGCCCATTCCTAGAGAAGCTAGAGGCGTCTCCACAGGCTTGGCTACATCCCTCTTCTCCCAGCTGTTTCCATCACCACTAGGCAGCACTTGGAGAAGCGCTAGTGCTGGCAGTCAGGCACTCAAGGCTCCTCCTTCCACCACCTTCTCCTTTTCCATTATTCATACTTCCAACCTTTCCTGTCAGCAGACCTCTACAAATTTTGTCAGGTAGGTACTGATGGAAATCTCAGATTTGCACTAGGAAGTCTCAGAAGAGCCTCTCTGCTCACTTGCTTTCCATGGCCCCTGACACTGACTGCAGCATCTCAGTCCTAGGTGATGCAGGACAAGTCCAAGTGACTCCATCCAACAAGTCTTGGATTTTCAGCTGTGGAGGGGAGCACTTCTCTTGCATGTTCTTTCCCTCCAGACCATGCAAGTGGGCCCGATGTTCTGCCTTTGGGATCAGGGTGACATCTCCTTGGGGCGGGTGGGTGTATGGGACTGCTGGAACTCCGTTGTGTGCCTGAATGGTGGCCTTACCATGAGCAATAGTTCTGTCATTTTTACTGCAGTGACACCAGTCCTGATCTCATGGGGAACCACAACAGGTAGAGGAATTGTTTCTAGGGAGTCCCCTTTAGAAACCACCAGAGCTGTATGCTGTGAGGTTCGGTGGATGCCAAGTAGCTCAGAAAGGAGCAAATGTCTTGCCATACTTTCATAACCACAAGATTTTGGCCCAAGGCTGCCTGTCACAGTTACAAGCTCTGCTGCTGGGAATACTCAGCAGGGCCCAGAGGAAGGGGGGATGGAAGGGCGGTCAGCGGGAGCATCACTGGCAGAGCAGCGCTGGTGTGGTGGCTGCAGGGGGCCCCTGTCATGAGCTCTTTAATGCACCAAGGGAGCTCATATGGAGGGTCACTGTGGGTAATCACCAGTGATTTCTGATTTCCTATTTTATGGCTGGGTCATCTTCTCAGCAGCTCCTTCAGGTGCTCTACAGCCCCTAAATTTCAGTGTTTTTCCCAGTTTAATACTCATGATACGAGCAGGAGCAGCACATCCTGGCAGGCATGAGATGGCAGCTTCCACCTCCATGGCTCCGGTAGAGGAAGTCAGATCTGATTTGGGAACAGAGGCTGCTAAAACCACAGCCTTCTCTCAGACCAGCTTTCAAAACTTGCCACCAGCAAAATGCAGCCCCTGCTGTCACCTCTGCCAGGCTGCAACCATCCCATGGGGACCTTCTGCATGGCTTATGCTACATTGGCATGGGAGTCCCTCAGCAGAGGGGACATGATCCTTCCCCCCCACTCTCTGCCACCCTGGCGAGCTAGCATTGCTGTGGCAGCTTTTGCTCCCAAAAAGCGGCAATTTTGGGGCCAGATACTTGAAAGAGGTTTGCAGCAACCCTGAAGTGCCCAGCTCTTGGCCAATACACTCAAAACTCCTTTTGGATGAAATCTGCTTTCTGCACATGACTTGTGAAATACTTGCAAACGACCAGCACGTCCCACAGCAGGGACTCTGCCTGCGCCTCCCACAAGCAGAAGGAGGAACTGGACATGCTTTCTAAATTGGTCATGGCGGCCGTCCATGATTTTTCTGGGTACAATTCATAGGTGACTTAATTCTTTGCTTAATCTGAACTGTTTCCATTACGCAGCTGAGGAGGTTCGGTCTCCCAGCTGCCTCGCTATATTTGGGCTGTGAGCTGCAGGAAGTTGATCAGCATGACATTGCCACAGATATTCCCCTGTCATGTTTCCCTAGAAAGAGAAATCTTGTTCAAACCTCTCTGCCCTCTCCTCCTCCCTCTCTGGGCACTGGGAGTACTGGGTTCTCTGCATACCCACTCTGTGTAATCCTCCCCCCTCCCTCCCAGGGAGTCCATTTGGAGAGCAGAAGGATAGTGTGACACGATGGGTAGCTTGAGGACCTTTTAAAACTGCCCTACCCGAGTACAGACGATGACACCCTAACATAAACATCAGTTCACCCTCCCCCAGATGTGGACACATGAACCAGCACAGCCCTTCCAATAGATCCACAACGTTTATTCAATTGCTTTGAAGGTGCGGTAGCATTAAGTGCGTGTTTCTGCTCTGTGGCCCTGCAAGCTCCCCGCCGCTGGCCTCGCTGCTAGTTGCAGTAGTTTTCCAGTTGGTAGAGGGAGCACGTGTTGTGGCAGCATTGCTCAACGATCCCTCGCTTCACTTTCTCAAACTCCGCCTGCTGAAAGGGCAGCTCGCCTACCTCACCGTGTAAGGGACCGCTCACTGCCAGGGAAGGAAAAGAGAAGCCATGTGATGACACACAGCAGCAGCCCTGTGCAGGCCCCCTTTGCAGACACCAGGTTTTTAAGCCAGAGCTGGCTGGAAAATGGGGAGGAAGTTGCAAAGGTTTCCCTGGATTGATGCTGCTTGTAGCACCCTCAGGCTCCATGTTTCCTCTCCCAAAATAATCTCCTGGTGCTTAGGAGCCAAGTTGAATGGATATCAGCAGTGTGAGGGACAAGGAAATACAGGGGCTTTTTTGAAGCAGGCATATGGAGAAGAAGGGAAACCTTGCACCCTCCCTGGGGTGAGTAAATAAGATGATAAAATGGGCTTGGTCTGCTATAGAGAGATGAGTTGCTTGGGACCGCAGCCCCTCTTGGGCAGTTACCCAGTCTTCTGGCAGCATGGGCAAACAACTGGGATGTCCATGGGATTGCAAGGACGGTCCAGTCCTGGGGCTGGATGGATTTCCCAGCTGGTCCTGAACAGCCTGCTCCTGTTGGCTGCCTGGATGTCGCCTCCAGCTGATGGCAAAAGTGTTTGTGTGTGTCCATGTTCACAGCTGGGGACAAGTTTTTAGACGGAATGGTGAATTGGGTTGGATACAGACAAAACTCAACAGAGTTTGCTGATGGGAACTTGAAAATTTGTGGACAAAGCTGTTCAGGTTTTAGTTGCCCAATGAAAATAAAGAAAATGGCAAATAAATCAGTGATTTTTGCTGTAGGAAGAAAAGAGGCCCTAAAAACCAGAAGAAAATGCCTGGAAAGTGAGAATGAGATGAGGTTTCTAGGTCAATATGAAAGTACAGCACAAGATGCAAAATCCCCAAGCCCCCAAAGCATGATGCCATGAACGAGGCACAAGAATAACAAGCAATCATTATGCGAGTTTGCTAGGAGGAAAATTTAGCACAGGTTTAGTCTGACATTAAGTAGAAAAGGAAATAGCTAGTCAATGTTTTGTGATTTACTTGTCCTCATCTTTCAAGCCAGCTGTGAGCAGACTGTAAACACAACCAGCTTGTGTGCCAAAGAGGTGGTGGCTCAGGCAAAAATCCTGGAACAAGAGGTAGAAAGTCCTCAGATACTTTCAAACTGGTTGGCCTTGATGAAATTCTCAGTACAGTATTTAGGAAATTGGCTAATGAAACTTTCAACCCATTTGTGGTGGTCTTCAGAAACAAATCATTGGAGAAAGGAGCAACTAACAGCCCAGCTGGCCATTCAAAACAAATCATGGCAAACCTTCTGCTATGACATTACCTTGCTTCACCTTCTGAAGACCTCTGAGACTATTTCATGGAATGGTTGCATACACAGGAGAAGGAATCGGATAGAAATGAAAGCAGTGTGTTATGGGAAGAGAAGTGGTGGGAGAGGAGTACTGTAGTCAGGGGAGGTTAAGTAATGGTCCATCTTGAAACAAGAAGGTTGAAATGACTGGGATTTGGCAGGGCTATCTTCTGCACCTATCTATTCAAAGTGTCTATTAGTAGCTTGGAAGACAGAAGAGAGCATTGCTGGATTCATAGAGGAGCTAAAGCTGAGAGGAACTGCAGGTACCCATCTCCAGAAGAGACATCATCCTTGCATTACAGCTGGACCATTACAGGTCCTGGCCCCGTCTAGATACAAACACCATGCTGAAGAGCAGCTTGCTGGACTGCTTCATCCCACCTGCACTGCCATGCAGACATGAAGTGCTGGACCAGGGGCAGTGGCCCGGCACCGAGGGGGTATGTGCATGCACAGGGCTGTGATCTCCTCCTGCCTCCTGGCCCTTGCACTTGTCAGTAGGCCAGCAGTCCCAAGGGGGGGAACCAAAGAAGCACCACCAGCATTTCACCACCATGAAATAAGAAACGATATAAAGCTGTGGTGGCTGCAAGCCTCTTGAAGGGCAAGATTAGTACTAAAAATTACCTTTGAAACTGTAGAAATGCTGAAAAGATGGGATGCTGTTCAGTAAGAAATGGGAAAGTTGCTAAGGTAGGCAGGAACACTGCATTGCGCATCCAGGCCAAGGGTTTGACTGTGCTAGCGGTCCTTCAAGGACCGCTGATCCACCCAAGGGAGGGTCAAGGCATCCAAGGGAGTGATCACTATCAATCAACAGTGCAGTGCTGCTTTGAAAAAGGCAAACGACCTGTGAAGGCAGGAACATGGTGTGAAAAACATACAATATCATTCTTCCAGTTTGCTGACTCTACTTGGCACTAGCAAGGTCTCATCTGAGGTCCTGAGCGCTTCTCCAGGCATCACCAGTCAGTAAGGATGTGGACCAAATGCAGAACAATTTGCATGGACAGAGATCTCGAAAATATGGCCTAGGAAGGTAGTGGGGTGGTGTAGAAGGGATTTAACTGACCGCAGGTTAAAACTAGACATGGGAACAGTCTTCAAATATTTTGAAAAGCAGCCATAAAGAAGAAAGGAGTAGACTCTTCCTCATACCCACTATGGAGAAGACAAGAAATAATTTATAGACAGGGATGTTCAGATTAGATATTGGGAAGAAACACTCTAGAGGAAGGTCAGTTAAGCACAGGAACAGGCAGTTTCAGAAGGCAGGAGAAGCTTCCTCACTGGAGGTTTTTATGATCATTCTAGACAAGCATGGGTCAGGACTGGGATGGGGACAACTGATCCTCTCTTGGGGCAGAAGGAGGCTTGCTGGGTTATTTCCACCTTTATTTTTGATGAACACTCCCAGGCCGGTGTAATGGCCATGCAAAGAAATAGACAAGTTTGAGCTTTCAGCCACAATTCTCTTTCCCTGTCTGCCCTCCCATCTGCCTTTTTAACCTGAAGAGTTTTTCATTGGCAATGCAATGCTGTTGGTATGTTAAAGGTATTCCTGGCATTCCCCATCAAGGACATTCCTGGTGTCACCATCAAAGATAGGCGGTTGTTGCCTTTTGCATCGCATAGCATACAACTGCGTTCAAGGTCAGCCTGACTTACCTAGAGGCTGCTCAACATCCCGTCGGGCTTTGGGGGAGTAGAAGAAACCCCTCTCTCCACACACCAGATAGAGAGCCTCCACCAAGTGGGAGCCACAGAGGTGCTGGTTGGCAGCTGCGTGGCTGGTCCCAGGGCTGGAAAGAGCGAGAAGGGCCAGGAGAGGCAGCGATCGGATCCAGAGAGCCATGGTGAGCAGGGTGAGGCCTAGGGTTAAGAGGCAGAGGAGACACAGGGAGGTCTAGGAGGGAGAAATAGGTTGTCATCAAGCATCTTATGTCCTTCAGCTCCTTTGGCATGAAAATGAGACCAAAGCAACAGATGGACCTTCTAAAGATGCCCTAACTTGAGAGGGAAGAAGAGCTTTCTGCATCACACTTTACAAGTCACAGTAAATGACTAATGATTATAACCAGCAGTCCATCTCCATCCACATGCTTCACATCAGTCCTGGCCTCCCTCCTGTCTTTCCCCAAAAGGCCAAACTAGACTGGAAGAGCCATCCCACTGATCCCCATAGTGTATGTGCTCAGGAGAGCTGAGATCAGCAGACACCTTCAGAGGAAAAACCCACTCTTCCAAGTCAGAAGGGGCTGTTCTTTATGATGATGGCCCAAAACCAACACAATGTGCTCAAAGACCCTGAGGAGACCTCATTTTCTTGGACTAGCAAGCCAGCACTTGTCATCACCAGCTACATCAGCTAAAGAAAATAGGTCTGCAGAACAGGGAGAAGCTAAAAGGGCAGCAATCACACTTACCCAAGGAAGTGGCAGCAAAAGATGGAAAGTAGTTTGCTCTGAGAGATGGAGGCTGTGTGGTTGGTAGTAATAGCCCCATTCTCTCTTTCCCATATTTATATGCTTTACATTAGCCCAAGTGACACAAGAGCTAGCAGGAGCCCCACCTCCTTGATGACACTCTAGCCAAAATTTTTGCTGCTTGTGCACATTAATTTCCCTCTACGTAGCATCGACAGGTCTTTATGCAAGTTAAGATAGAAGCAACAGTTTGCAGTTTCCATCTCATTTCATCCAACTTGTTTTTGCTTCCCTGAAGCTCTGTCCTGAGCCATCAGTGACCCTTTTAGCAGGAGATAATGGTGCTATTACAGCTGCAATGATTACTAATGACACTAATGCTGGCAATAGGCACTGCTGGCATTGAGGTGGCTCAACAGCTGTTTCTAAAATGTAAAATTAAAGGCAAACATGTTAATCTGTTAATCACCTTGGAAAGTATGCAGTGATGGGACCAAGTTGTCGGTGAGCCCATGCTGCTGTCAGGTGTTAGAGGAAGGAAAACACATTATTGTGCTGAGGCTATCTGCGGCCCCACTTGCTGGCCATGCGGCGCACAGCGAGAGACACGCGTCCATGGCTTGGGCTGGGGGAGGAATAACACCTGCCAAAGTTAGAGCATTTGAAATTTTGTATGTGAAAAAATAAGCCTTTACCCCTTTGCCCACTGAAAGGCAGGTCCCCTCCTTTTTCTGCCAGGTGCCCCTTCAAATTCCTCTTTGGGATTAAGGAGAGCAGAGACCCAGTCTCTGCCATTTGCAGGTGAGAGCTCTGAGCACCTCAGCTCTTCTCTCTGGGGCTCTGCCCAAAACTGGGTCTTTGACACCAAGAAACGTTTCTGGTAAATCCCAGTGAAAACCAGGACACAGCTGATTATCTCCCTTCTGGCTGGTAGGTTTGCTTTTAATAGAAAATGATGGGCCAGGGGTGTCCCACTGGCTTTCATGGGTCTGATTTTGGTAATAGATCTACCTCGCTTTCTCTCTTTCACAACATTACCCCATTTTTTGGATACCTCTGTGCAGTGGTGTCCAGCGACAGGACAAGGGGCAATGGGCACAAACTGAAACATAAGAGGTTTCAGTTGAATATGAGGAAAAACTTCTTTAAGGGTAACGGAGCACTGGCACAGGCTGCCCGGGGGTGTGTGTGTGTGTGTGTGTGTGTGTGGAGTCTCCTTCTCTGAAGATATTCAAAGCCCACCTGGATGAAGTCCTGTGTAACATGCTCTAGGAGAACCTGCTTTAGCAGGGGGGTTGGACTAGGTGATCTCCCGAGGTCCCTTCCAACCCTTGAGATTCTGTGATTCTGTGCTCAACTTCCCTGCCACTAATAGCATGCTTGTAACTTTTTCTGCTTAAAGTATACTTTTTATTTTTTTTCCCCTGCTTGAAAAGGCTCATTTGGAATGCTGGGGATGAGATGAGCTTCCCAATGCTCTGAATTTTGAGACTGCAAGTGCTCAGCACCACTGAAAAGGAGACATTTTGATCTGTTTGAACTCTGCTGCTTGTTTAACTTGGAATAAGCCTGATTCTCCATGCAGAGTATAAATCAGAAGGAAGTTTACCGAAATCAGCCTTGAGACTCAAACCAGACCCTTGATTTCTTGAGTAGCCAAAGCAATTCCATCCATCAGCGTCTAGGAGGTAGGCAGTCCCACATGCCCCTGTCATGGCTTTAAGTGTATCGTATGCTTGCTAAATGACTGCAATTGCAAAAAGGCTCGTGGGAAGCGCTACATCTCTGATGAGCGTACAGGGAGGGGACTCATTTGCTGAAACAGATGGGAGACAAGGTTATCAGTTACACCCCCTGCCATGTAGGTCTTTTGGCCTCCTGTTAATAAATCCAGGTTGTGATGCTCAACTACAGTTAAGAGCATCTCTGCACAATGTGTAACACTATCTCTGTCTCCCTTCCCCTCAAAAATGATGTTGGATATACCTCAATGACCTAGTGGTATACCCATGAAGAGAGACTCATGTTTCAGCAAGATACGAGTACAGGGAATTCACTTACTCAGACCTTCTTTCTGCCGCTAGAAGATGGGGAATTAGCAGCTACACAGGCTAAAACCCGGCATTTTACCCCATCTGAAGTAGGTTGGCAAAGCCAGGAGCAGAAGCCTTGTGTCACTCGTACTTCTTCCAGAGCAGGTACCCCCCATCTGGCATCTTGCACAAAGGGGACGACTTGCAGAATTACCCTACAGATCCCTTAGCAGTCATTTTCCTGTGGTCACCACACCGCGTGAGGTCTGATGGACCTCAGCCCAGTGGTCGCCTTGGAAAGGCTCCAGAGCAGGGTGTTCCCCAGGTTAATCATATGCTGAGATTTGCCATTTAGCGTTTCCCTTCTTGCACTTTTGAACGTTACCTGAGCTCACCTGAACTCATGTGTTAGTGACAGTGACATTTTGTAAGGAGGCTCCTCTATCCACTGTCTTCTCCCTTCTGGGCAGCTTCCCTGCTGTTTCCCCCTTTCCCAGGGCTTACCCCACTGGTGTAGCAAAAAAAGCTATTTTATTTTCTGCTGGTAGTGCCATGTTATTAGTCTGTTGCTTCTTTTACTCTTGGCTAACCAAATCCTGGAAGTAGCTTTGAAAACCTTGTGGCATTTCTGCAGCATGCCCCAGCAGGGGAAGGGCTGACTGTACCCGAGCATTCAGGAATCCCTCTTGGCTCGCTGTAATTTGGGTGCAGAAAAAGTCAGAAGATTTATTGGAAGGAAAAAAGATATCACGCTGGCTCAAAATTCAGCATGGGCCAATATTTTTGCAAAAGTTTCCTGCTATGATTTTTTTTCCCCTTCCAAAATATGATCACTTTGATTATTTATTGGAAACCATATTTTCTTACCATAAATGGTCCTTTGGAATATGAAAAATGCAAGCAGTGATATAAACGGATATAAAATGGATATAAACTGTGGAAAGTTTTGTCTTAGAGGGAAAACTCCCATGTCAGCAGCGAACTGAGAGAGGGGGCCAACAGGGGAACCCGTTTCTTGATGGAAAAGCTTTTTCTACAGAAAAATCTCAGCTCACTCCTTCCAGGTTGGGCTTCCCCATGATTTTCATGTGATTATGCAGATACAGGCCAAACACTCATCCATCATTTCAGCTATGCATGCCTGCCGTGACGCCCCCAGATGCTCAGCCCCACATTGGGCTCACTTGGCCGAAAGGTGGGAGCAGCTGTGTGGGAGTGGGCTGCTCCTGGCTCCTGTCCTTCGTGCTAAACTGCCTCCAGACGTGACTCGAAGCCACCTCCCTCACTCACATCCCCCCGAACCTGAGCAGTTGCATCAGTGGGGACGAGGTTTAGGCAATCCCCGGTGTCATGTAATCAAGTTTTACAGTCCATTGCCAACACAATAAAATCTTTACTACTGTAGATGTCTAGCATTTTCGAACCCTGTCCTGAAAAAATAACAAGCCCACTATGGGGGAACTAGTTAAAAATTACAAGTTCGTGCAAGTTTTACTGACAGCAAAGGTCAGGTCTGGAGGCGAGCAAGTTCTCAGAGAGCACCCAGGGACCGCAAAACACCACCCACCTCCCCGCCGCTGCTCTCACGCTCAGCAGCCACTGCTGGGGCTGCTCTGCCCGTCCCAGGGTGTGTGTGGCCCCAAAAGCAGAGCAGAGAGCAACATATCAGTGACTGTGTGTCTCCTTTTCCCTGGAGGGTGAATTCGGTGGTTTGTGAAACCAACAGCCCTGGAGGAGGCACTGCCTGCTAATGCACCCCTGTGCTGTACCAGCAGCCTGCGGAAACACAGCCCAGAGGCACCCAGAGGGGTCTGCACCCCCAAGAGCTGCTTCTGGGGGTGGCCAGCCCCTGGGAGGTGCCCCAGTATGGCCACTGGTAGCTGGAGTTGTGTAGTTGGGGCAATGCATTCAAGCACACGAGCCATTCGAGCTGCAGAGGTGTAGCTTTTCACTCGGCATGGGGAAATGGGGACCCCCTGGGGCCCAGCAGTTGCCCCCTCCAGGCTTTGCTCCGTTCCCCGTGCAGGGTGCAGCAGCAGCTGGCGGCGTGGCCGCAGAGTGGGGAAGCTGGCATCCTCAGTGCTCCTTGTCTCTGTGTGGGTTCCAGCAGCTGTACTTTCCATTGGTGTGTCCAAGCACGTGTGGAGTGGCAGGGGGCGACTGTCCCGCCAGCGGCAGTGGCGTGAGATGAAGGGTGGGGAGGTGAACCTGGCACTGAGGAGGGTGCTTAATCATGGGAATGCTTGCAACCAAATCCTGCGATGCCTGCAGAGATAGGTGGCGGCCGCTGTGGGCTTGGAGGGGAGAGGGGGCTGCTATAGCAAAGGGTGAGTCTCTGTGGCTTATCTGGAGCCACACAATGAGAGATGCCCTTGCTTCAAAAGGGGCATTGTGCAAGCAGAAGGAGGGGCCCACTCACTGGGATACAAATAATCTCAGCTGCTTCTATAAACTAATCCAGGCAGCTGCCTAGGTGCAGGACACGTCAGCTGTCCCCATCACCCCGCCAGCCGCCAGGCCCAAGGGAGACGCTCCTGCCAGACCATGGATTTCACAATTTTCCAGGCTCTTCCAGACCAGGGACATTATCTTGCAGCTTAGAGCACAAAGGGTTGATTCATAAACTGGAGGGTGTGACCCAAAGCTCAGTGTAACCAACTGGGTCTACCCATGTTTCCATCACCTTTGGGTTAGCTGCTACCGGTGGAGAGGGTCATGAGTACATCTGCACCTCTGGAGAAGATGCTCCAGGGAGGAACTCAGAAGAACCAGTAGCTCTCATTAGAGGATGAGGGAGTTTCCCAGGTGTGTTGTGGCTCTGAGAACAACCTCCTGTGACCCAAAACTTCAGGCCACCCCTCCTGAGCACATTGTGCCTCTCAGCAGTGAAATGCTGACCTTTGTCCAGCCCAGCTCACCTGGGGCCATGGCATCTGCAAATTGGTTTGGCTGCACCCCACTGAAGCCCCCAAGGCCTCTGCAGGCTCAAAGCTCTACACAAGTATAGCTACCCAAGCAAAATGGACCAAATTTAATGATCTCCAGA